TAATGTAATGCCTTTCGGATTGTGTAATGCTCCAGCTACGTTTGAGCGACTGATGCATTTTGTTTTGCGAGGCCTTACATGGAGAACTTGCCTGGTATATTTGGATGATGTCATGATTATGGGAAATTCGTTCCAAGAACATCTCAATAACCTGAAAGAAGTTTTTGACCGCTTCCGAAATGCCAACTTGAAACTCAATCCAAATAAGTGTTTCCTATTTCAAAAGAAAGTGGAATTCTTAGGTCACGTGGTATCTGAAGAGGGCATACAAGTTATGGAAGGAAAAATAGATGTTGTCAGGGACTGGCCAAAACCACGTGACAAACATGAACTAAGGAGTTTTCTAGGATTATGTTCTTATTATCGAAGATTTGTGGAAGGATTCGCCAATATAGCTGCTCCACTTCATCGATTAACAGAAGAAAAATCAACATTTAATTGGACCCAAGAATGCGATTCCGCATTTAGAAAATTGAAAGGAGCATTATGTACGAGCCCAGTGTTGTCCTATCCTGATCACAAAGGCATGTTGATTTTGGACACAGATGCAAGTAACACCAGTGTTGGAGCTGTCCTTTCACAAATCCAAAATTCACAAGAACATGTCGTGGAGTACTACAGCAGAACATTATCAAAGCCGGAACGAAATTATTGTGTCACCAGAAGAGAGTTGCTTGCCATAGTAAAAGCAGTCGACCATTTTCATAAGTATCTCTATGGACGCAAGTTTCTAATTCGAACAGATCACGCAGCTCTAAAATGGCTTTTAGAAATGAAAACTCCTGAAGCTTGCTAGATGGATTGAGAAATTGCAGCAATACGATTTCCAAATTAAACATCGACCTGGAAACCTGCATAAAAATGCTGACGCTCTGTCTAGACGGCCATGTAAAGAAGATTGCAAACATTGTCAAAAAATCGATATACATGAGAAAAACACTAGTCCAGCTGTAAGAAGAACGGGCCTGATCGTCGATGACAAATGGACTACCAAGCAAATGAGAGAAGATCAGGAGGCAGACCAAGACATCGGGCAAATTCTGCATCTTAAAGAAAATGATGAGTGTAGGCCAGAATGGGGGGAAGTGTCAAACAAAAGCTTGATTTACAAGGCGTTGTGGGCCCAGTGGAACTCTCTGGCCGTAGAAAATGGTTTGCTCAAAAGAGTTTGGGAAAGTGCCGATGGGAAATCCACTAAGAGCCAACTGGTTATCCCAAAAGACCGAGTGGAAGATGTATTAAAAGAAATACATGACGGAACCTCAGGGGCACATTTCGGAGTTAACAAGACTTTGGACAAAATTCGGGAACGTTTTTACTGGGTTCACTACCATGAAGACGTTAAAATCTGGTGCCGAAAATGCGACATCTGGGCTACCAGTAAAGGCCCTAAACTAAGATCTCGGGGGCCCATGAAACAGTACAACGTCGGTCTCCCATTAAAAAGAATAGCGATAGATGTTGCTGGACCGTTCCCAGAGTCAGAGCGTGGTAACAAATACATCTTAGTTATCATGGATTACTTCAGTAAATGGCCAGAAGTTTTTGCTATTCCCAATCAATAAGCCATCACTGTTGCCCAGGTGCTAGTGGACGAAGTTTTTAGTCGTCATGGTGTGCCACTAGAGTTACATTCAGACCAGGGACGAAACTTCGAATCTGCCGTCTTTAAGAAAGTTTGTGAGATCATGGGCATTCATAAGACAAGGACAACACCTTTACACCCAATCTGATGGCATGGTGGAACGATTCAATAAGACCATAGAGGAACACCTGACAAAAGTGGTCGCAAAGAACCAACGAGATTGGGACAAGCATTTGCCTCTATTTTTAATGGCTTACAGAGCGGCTGTTCACGATTCAACAGGTGAAAGTCCGGCTAGAATTGTTTTTGGAAGGGAACTCAGGTTACCTTGCGATCTGATGTTTGGAGTACCCGAAGAAGAACGAAGAGAAATCCGAGATTATGCCGACGAAGTAAGGGCACGACTTCTGGGTATCCATGATTTTGCTCGGGAGCATATTTAACTAGCCAGTGACCGAATGAAGACCAGATACGACTTGAAAGCCAATTCGGTCGGATTTCAAGAAGGTGATTTAGTGTGGTTGTATAACCCAGCAAGGAAGAAAGGAGTGTCGCCGAAATTGTCGTCAGCATGGGAAGGACCCTATAGAATAATCAAGATGATCAATGATTTGGTTTAGCGAGTCCAGCGCAACACCAGGAGTAAGATGAAAGTTGTACATCTGGACAGATTGGCGAAATATCATGGACGTGAAGTTGATCGGGACGATCAACCTTAAGAGGAGGGCAGTGTCACGATATCATCCGCCAGGCTGTCAAGAATCGATAGTGAAAATACTAGAATCTAGCGAATTATTCTACTTTAATATGGAAAATTAGATTATCGTGTGTATTTTAGATTTTACAGGAATAGATTTAGGGATATATAAGAAGGCCGGCATTGATTTGTAAGTTTAATTTCAGTTCGACTGTGATACGATTTTAATAGTGATTGTAAAGAGTTTAATTGTTGAGTTAGTAAAGTAATTAGTGTCAGAGTGTTTTGTTAAGTGGAATAAATTATTGCTGTATTAATTGGACTTTGATTTTTGGAATAAACGAAACGAACAACGAACCCAAGATTTTTGTCAGCAGCAGGCAACCCAAAGCCGCGACAATACTATTAAAAATCCCCTAAAAGTAATTAGATGTTGAATTTTTGATTTTTGGCATCTATAAATGATCCTTAACAATATCGCATCGATAGTTTGCTGTTAAATTTTTTGTTAAAATATGGCTGTTATTTCGCTAAGTGCCTTGGCCTGATAGGTAACTAAATCTTGTTGAATAAAACTTCAATTTTCAAAAAAGGAAGAATAATGATAATAGAACTAAAATACAATATGCCACCGACTCGTTGAGCCCCTACTGATGAGTGACTTTTTAACATTGACAAAACAGGCATTATCACCCCTAAACAAGTTTATTCAGTTATAGTTACATATGGAATTATACAACAGTGAGTCTGGGAAATTTTGTTAAATTTGCTAAATAAACTACTCACTCAACAATTGGTTCCAAGCATAAATTTCACCAGCTTCTGAGACGCGACAACTTTTTAATAAATTAACGGAAAAATAATATTATATGCCGTTTTCACTATTTTTGAAAGCGATTCCTTGTTAATCATCTGCCTCACACACAAAAATATAGAATTTGAGTGTTTTTTTTTTATACAGGGTGATATAGGAAGTGCGGTAAAGAAACAAAACTTTTGTTGCCACCCGATTTCTATAATTATTTAACTTTTCTTTCTAGGCATATCTGAATGATTATTATATTTATCCGCAGAAACGTTTTTGGATTTTTTCTAACATCTTTTTTTGTTTATAAAGTAATGCAAATTTAGTGTTATAATGACACACAGAGCTTCAAACCCATCGTGAATTAGTTTAAACAGTAAATTTTAGGATCCGCTAGTTTAATTTTACTTGCTATGATCACAATTAAAACTAACTGACGTAAAAATGCTTTATACAAAACACACAGGATGTGCGAGGATACTTTAAACTTGAAATTTGAAATTTCATGTTTTGTATAATTTTGCCATTTACTACAGAAAAGAAAGTGTCAAGAACGGAAAATAAATTTTGACTTACTTTGCAGGCTTTATATCACTTCTGCAATGTAGTTCCAAAAAACAATTTCGAGGTTTTTTTTGTCATCCATTTTTTCAGAAAGTTACGTCATAATTTTTAAACCTATAAAACACTAATTGTTTCCTCATTTTCTAGGTATTTGCTGCCATCAATATGTCCTAAAAGAATAATTATTTTCACTTGCTAACATTTTGGATGAATCTTTACTTGTATACAGGGTGTCCCCAAATCAATCACCCAATGAATGTGTAGTCTCTTTTGAATTTCGCAATTTATAAAAGGTAGGTATTTAATTTGTTTATCTTGTAAAACCGATCATAAAGTAAGTGGCATCATCTAAAAAGCATATGATTTGGGGACACCCTGTACACAAGTAAAAATTCTTCCAAAATGTTAGCAAGTAAAAATAATTATTCTTTTAGGATCTATTGATGGCAGCAAATATCACGGAATTGAGGAAACAATAATTATTGTTTTATAGGCTTACAAATAATGACAAAACTTTCTGAAAAATGGATAACAAAAAAAACCTGGATTTTTTTTTTTTCGAATTACATTGCAGAAGTGATATAAAGCCTTCAAAGTAAGTCAAAATTTATTTTCCATCCTTGATATTTTCTTTTCTGTGGTAAATGGTAAAATTATGCAAAACTTGAAATTTCAAGTTTAAAGTATCCTCGCACATCCTGTGTGTTTTGTATAAAGCTTTATTACGTCAGTTAGTTTTAATTGTGTGCAAAAAAAATTTAAACTAGCGGATCCTTATAAACAAAAAAAAATATAGGGAAAAATCCAAAAATTTTTCGAGGAATGAACATAAGAATCATTCGGGTATGCCTAGAAAAAATTAAAAAAAATAATTGTAGGAATGGGGTGGCAACAAAAATTTTGTATTTTTACCTCACTTCCTATATCACTCTCTATAAAAAAAAAACACACTAAAATACTATTTTTTTTTGTATGAAGCAGATTATTATATAACAAGGAGTCGGTTTCAAAAATGCTGAAAACGGCATATTTTTCCGTCAATTTATTAAAAAGTTGTCGCATCTCAAAAATTGGTGAAATTTATGCTTGGAACTTCTCTGTATAATTCTGAATTATTTTTTCTTCAAAATAATAAATCATATTAGGTGTTCTATCGATTTTTATTCTAATGATTGTCCGCCTAATTTAAATATATTTGCTGACATCCCTGTTTTATTACACACATGCAAATCTGATAAGTAGGTATAAAAGTTAGCATATCACTGAAATCTTTTAGCAGTTTAATTTAGAAGCTTTCATAGAGCAATATTATAAATTAGGAAATAAATATTGACCCACCACCAACTTACCTCAGATTTTATTTTGCATAAAAATACAAAAAGAAAAAATAAAACAAAATTTTTCATCAACATTATTCTAACTTAAAATTATTAGATATCACTTTGCAGTTTGAAACCACTTTGCATAATGTGACAATATTTCGAACTGGTGTTAGAAATTTTAAGTTAATTTGGCGATATCTCAATTTTTACTAACCAGGGATAATTGCAAAGTTATGAAAAAGCTGGCTATATTATACTACCTACCTGCGCCATTTTCAAATATTCACTTGGATATTTTTGAGTTTCATAAATTATAATAGGCTCCTTGCATCAAATTTTTTTATTGCTGATTTGATAGTCCATGAAAAATAAGTCAACGCGTGTTTTTTCTTTTTCTTCTTAGTCAAAAATTGACGGAGATATGAAATCTGCCTATGACGTCAGTTATCTAATAAATTAGTGACGTTGCACATGCTCAGTATATCTATATATACAAAACTTAATATTTGAATAACTTCCGGAATAATCATATTTGGGCGAAATAAAAAAAAAGTAACGATTTTTTTCGATTTCCTACAGTTTGCAATAAACAATAATCAATTTAATTTTCCATGCAAGTACCCTATTGTTATTCATTCGATACAATATCGTGAACACAAAGCTCATCTTGTTCCGAAAGTTCTATTTTGCACAAATAAATGTCTTCAATATTTGGAAATTTTTGTAAAGTATTGTAATACGTGTCTGTGGTAGGAAATACTTAATACAATTTAAAAGGTTTAGGATAATTAATTGGTTTAAATATAGTAAATATAATTAGTTCTTTTCGAATTATCACATGAGAGGACATGGTATTTAATTACGTTGTCGAACGGTATTTGTTGACTCGTGGGTATGTTTTTCAAGATTAAGTTTAATTCATTATGCTGCAGTATTGTATAATGCATTATTTTTGTGTGTGTGGAAAACTGATTGCATTTTGTGTGGTTAATTAACTCGCGTATTTTACTAATGTGCATATTGATATTTTCTAGAATTAGATTCATCCAATGACCTATTATCACAGATAGACATAGTATTCCATTCATAAAATACTATTTGTTGTGTTGACAACATGTTTATAGGCCAGGGGGGATTTGGGGTGCGGGCGATCCATGGTGGGGGTAAGTCGCCCGATCTAAGTCCGGCCTCAACAGCTGTTCCCTGCCATGGACCAGACGCAATTGGTCCCGCCCCAAAACCAAAACAATGATATTCGAAGAGTATTTCCAGACTAAAACGAACATATCTTATGTGATTATGCAATCGGGATATAAAGTCTGTTTTTTTTTAAAAGATAAAAGTCAAAATGACATTATGTTTGCGATACAATGTAAAATTGTCAAGCTTTCAAATTTTGTATGTAGAAAAGGCTTGTGTTGCCAACATAGTTACTAAATTTATGACTTTGGGAATTATCTTTAAAAAAAAACAGACTTTATGAACATATCCATGATAGATTGGACTTTAGGATGTTTGATAGTGATGTGCAACTTGGATACTTAGAAGTATCGGTATCGAATGGATACTTGAGTCAAATGTATCAGATACTTTGTATCGGATACTTTGGATCCTAAACAGTTGGGATTGTTGAGAATTGAAATTGGGAATTACGCATAACTAGCGGGGAATCCCAGAGACAATACCTATAGTCACAAAGTCTATGTAAATGTAGCATTGCTCACAGATTTTGAACGAATTACATATCTGCACGGTGCACGATTACAGATTTCTGTAAATTTTGAAGGATTTTATAATTTTACCGCTAGGCGGGCGATCGGTTTCATGCGCATTCACTCTGGGGATATTGGAGCGTGAGAAAAAAAAGTATTGTCGCGGCTTTGGCTCGCCGGACAGAAATCTTGGGTTCGTTGTTCGTTTCGCTTATTCCAAAAATCAAAGTCCAATTAACACAGCAATAATTTATTCCACTTAACAAAACACTCTGACACTAATTACTTTATTAACAAACTCAACAATTAAACTCTTTACAATCACTATTTAAATCGTATCACACTCGAACTGAAACTAACTTTTTTTTTTACGGAACTTACAAATCAATGCCGGCCTTCTTATATATCCCTAAATCTATTCCTGTAAAATCTAGGATACACCCGATAATCTAATTTTCCAGATTAAAGTAGAATAATTCGCTAGATTCTAGTATTTCCGCCATCGATTCTTGACAGCCTGGCGGACGCCGTTTTTCTGGATTTCGTAGCAGTATTTAGAGTATCTAAGCATTTAGAAATAAAGTATCGGATACTTCAAATTCAGCAAAGTATCCGATCTTTTTAATCGGATAGATACTTTTTGCACATCACTAATGTTTGAAAAGGTGTAGGAATCTTTTGTCAAGCAGATGACAAATAACCACATAACTATTGTCAGTTTTGATTTGATCCATAGAAAAGTGATTTATATTCTTGACTAGCTAATGACCCGCTGCGTTGCCAGCGTGAAAATACATTTTGAAATAATACACTTTTTTACAAATTTTGCTGGTGATTTTCTATTTAAATATTTTTTTGTTATCCGATACCAGAGTCGCTTGCCAGTGAGTTCAGTGACGCATTTTAAGCACTCCAGAGCTGTTCTAGAGCTCTCCGGGCTGTTTAAATAATTTTTTTTTACAATTTAATTAATAATTAATTCAAAATCAATTTCTTTTTCCGAGATGCGTAACCTATCCACAAACCTTCCTTGGGATGGCCATAACAATCTACCAAAGTTTCATTGTAATCGGATTAATGGTGTGGGAGCGCATACCCGGATACCCCGTAAACGATTTTTATATATATAGATATAGAACGCTCACTTCTGTTGTAGTCGCCCAGTCACATTTCCGACGGTGCTGCCATAGCGGTGTAGTCATTGAACTAATATTTGGCGGGCCGTTTGAATCTCGGTTTCAAATGACTCGTTTGACATTTCAATTATTTCAAAATAAAACAGTGCTTCATAAACTAAATTTTATACATTTTATTTTCATATATTTGTGCAAATCACTTAATGAATAAACTACTAGTCTATAATCTAGATGATTTGGCGTATCTGACTTATAAGCTAACTGAAAAACTTTCCAATTTGCTTTTTGAAAATGTCAATTTTTCTATTTGAATGACTGTTATATTTGATCAAGTAATTTATAATTCCCTCGAGCATGTATTATGGAGCATCATACAGTGGCACTAGGTTGTTTATCTCCAACAAAACCAAAATTTCTGTTTCTGTGTTGTTTTTGATGTAGATTTCCCTGGTCTGTGGCTGCAATTCGCTTTTAACTAATTATTTTTTGCCGCCTGGTCACACATTGTGGCAGCAACTCTTAAACCGGCTGCTTGTGATGCACTTATTAATTCTTTCACAGTCTTGGAATTCAAAACAATCAATGACATTCACTCAACCATAGAAAAGTGATTTATAAATTCTTGAATAGAACATTCACTGGATTCATCCCCTCCACTTTTTGTTTTAATTCGTGACTACACCGCTGTGCGCCCATATCGCCGTTTCTCAAGGTTCCCCTCGTTTTTATTCTAATCTCTGACTTCACCGATAAGTTAGCTATCTTTGTTTAGTGAATAGAAAATGACAATGACCGACATAGCATCGTGTATATAAAAACCAGTCATAAAACGCAGGTTTTCATTTAACATCATATTGCAAATGTCATCTTGTCATCTGAATTAATTTGTTGAGTGCATCGTCGTTGATTGTTTTAAATTCCAAGACTGTGAAAGAAGTGATAAGTGCATCATCATAAGCAGCCGGTTTAAGAGTTGTTGCCACAGTGTGTGACCAGGCGGCAAAAAATAAATCGGCCAAAAGCGAATTGCAGCCACAGCCGGGGAAATCTACATCAAAAACAACAGAGAAACAGAAATTTTGGTTTTGTTGGAGATAAACAACCTAGCAATCGTGTCACTGTATGATCAGAGATAAATACTATATAAACTGTCGAGAATGGAATCTCAGTGTAAATTTTGTTGTCAACAAAATTGAGTCAAGCCAGCGCCATCTACCACATCAGAAAATCACTATTTACTGGTTTTGCATCGATGCTACAGATACCTACTTTACATAGGACTTTTTATGATAGATGGCGCCAGTTCGCATTACTGTCGGTCTGTTCAAATTCGTTTATTCTAGACTTTGGGGCATTAATGTTTGCTTAAATTAATTGATAATTTGTTAATTAGATCAAAAGACAGTTTCTTTATCGATGGTTAAGGGATCCTTAACATATTTATTCAAAGTTCTGATTGATGTTTAATTGAACCTGTCATTTATCTAATCAACAAAGATAAAAATAGATCTTCCAATCTATAAAGTTTGAAGTTCTTCTTGAAACACACAAAACAACTTTGAAATCACTTAAGAACACTTGACAACACAAAGAAAGATGAAATGCAAGACCGGCGAACAAAAAACATTATGAATTATTAGTTATGATCAAATGAATATTTTGGCATATTGTCATATGTTGACATGTCAGTTATCGACATCGGACGTGTTCTTGATGTGCTGGTATTTTCCAATTTTGACAATTCTGTGGTTGTTAGCGACATCTAGAAAAACGGAAAAGAGTTATTATGTGGTTTATAACTGGCAATGAGAGATCGCAGGGCCTGCTGTATGATGCTCCATACATGCTCGAGGGAATTATAAATAACTTGATCAAATATGACAGGCTTTCAGCTGGAAAAATAGACATTTTCAAAAAGCAGATTGGAAAGTGTTTCAGTCAGCCCATGAGTCAGATACGCCAGATCATCTATGAATAGATTATTGACTATTTTATTCATTAAGTGATTCTCACATAAATATATGAAAATAAAATGTATAAAATTTTAGTTTATGAAGTTTTGATGCACTGCCTTATTTTGAAATAATTGAAATGTCAAACCAGTCATTTAAAACCAAGATTCAAACGGCCCGCCAAATATTAGTTCAATGACTACACCGCTATGGCAGCACCGTCGGAAATGTCACTTGGCGACTACAACACAAGTGAGCGTTCTATATCAAGAATGTAAATAACTTTTTTATGCACTCAACACTCAACAAATTAATTCAGATGACATATGCATTATATTATGATGTCAAATGAACCTGCGTTTTTATGACTGGTTTTTATATTCACCATTCTATGTCGGTCATTGTCA